AAAATGTTAGCATATGCCAGAGATTTCTGTAGGTCTTTAGCTGACACTCTGGGATTCTTCTTTACCTCATGCAGCATTGTGCGCTGTGCTCTTGCAGTCATTTGTACAGGACGACCGCGCCTAGGGAGAGTAGCAACAGTGCTAAACTTTCTCCATTTGTAGACAGTCTGTCTTACCGTGGACACATGAACATCAAGGCTTTTGGAGATACTTTTGTAATCCTTTCCAGCTTCATGCAAGTCAACTATTCTTGATCGTAGGTCTTCTGAGAGCTCTTTTCTGCGAGGCATGGTTCACATCAGACAGTGCTTCTTGAAACCAGTAAACCCAAACAGGTGTGTGTTTTTTAAGGGCAGGACAGCTGTCAGCAACACATCCAATATCATCACACTGATTGGAGTCAAGGTTGGCTCACTCCTGGCTCCAATTAGCTCTGGGAGAAGTCATTAAGCTAGGGCCTCACATACTTTTTCCTCCCTGCACTGTGAATGTTTACATGTTATGTGCAATTAAACCATGGCAACATCTAATGTTTGTGTAGTATTATGTTCAGCAGACTGTGTTCTTCTATTGTTGTGACTTAGATGACGTTCAGAGCACATTTTATGCCCAATTCATGCAAAACTCCACGTAATCCCAAGGGGTTCACATACTTTTTCTTGCAACTGTATACAGCGCTGCGCTAGTTTAACGGACAATTGCGCGGTCATGCAATACGGTACATAAATGAAATTTACATCCTTTTTTTCCCCCACAAATTGAGGTTTCTTTCAGTGGTATTTGATCGCCTGTGCAGTTTTTATTTTTTGCGCTATAAAAAAAAAAGGCTGACAATTTTGAGGAAAAAAAAAACAATATTTTGAACTTTTTGCTATAAAACATGTCCAGTAAAAAAAAAAAAATGCAAAAATCAAATTTAGTCATAAATTTCTGCCAAAATGCATTCGCGACACATCTTTGCTAAAAAAAAAACCCAATACGTGTAAATTAATTGGTTTACGTGAAAGTTATAGCGTTTACAAATGGCGGGAAAGATACTGGGATTTTTAGGGTTTTTTTTATACTAATATTGGCGGCGATCAGCGAATTATGGCGGCGATCAGGGACTTATGGCAGCGGCCAGCGACTTATGGCGGGACTGCGGTGGACATTCTGACATTGGGGGGAACTGACTTGGGGTCACTGACATCCCCAAAAACACTAATACAGTGATCAGTGCAAAAAAAAAAAAAAAAACTGACACTGTTCTAATGGCACTGGGGAGGAAGGGGTTAACTTTATTTTGCAGGGAAGGGTTATAGGAGTGAGGGGAGTGTTTTACTAGGGGGCGGGGTGTGTGCTGGGCGGGACAAGGCTGATCGAGAAAGAGAAACTGTTCTTTCTCGATCAGCTCATCCTCGAGCTGACAGGGAAGTGACAGACAGCACAGCTACTGCAGCTGTGCTCTCTGTCACTGTTTGCCGCCGATCGCCGGGACATAGCCGCTAAGGAGTGGCTGTGACCCGGCGACTGACATCTGTGGCGGTGATCCGTGGGACAAATAGGGCGGCAGCGTGCCTCGCGCACGCCCCCTATTTGTTTACAAAACACACGTCTTAAATTGTGGTTTTGCCTGTGAGTGCCGCCCTGCCGCCGTATATCTACAGTGGCTGGGCGGCATGCGGTTAACATAATTCTACCTGTTGGCATGTTTAGATAACGGGAGTAATAATGCTTTACCCGGAGCATGCATGATCCTGCATTACCAGAGTTTTTGTAAATGTAAAAAATGTATATGGTTTGAAATTTAACTAATATTCCTGCCTTTCTTATGACAGGTTTGCTGTATCCTTACGGATCCGATTTTGATTCTGTTAGCCCAAAATCAGATGATGGTGGAACTGGTATAATTCCACTATCAGTAAATGTCATCCTTTTTGGTGATGTTTACAACGCCCTAATTGTAAGTAAGACGTTTGTAGAGCAAATATTATTTTTAAAAATGATAAAAAATAATATGAATAATAAGAAGAAGAATTATGATTATTAATATTATTATATTTTTTTAATATATTCTGATTATATAAAGCCTAAATGCCAAGATTATTTTCTAGTTTACATTATTGTCGGATGCTAATTTTTGCGTGTGTGTGAGACCCCAACGGGGAATTTCTTACTTTTAGTATTGTGATTTGGATAGTTGGGAGCTATGATTGTATAGCGTATATCAGGGCTTAAAATTTCAAATCCTGAGCTACTAGCCAGGCCTTAGAGTTACTCGCCACCAGGGGCGGACTGACAAACTCATGGGGCCCCCCGGGCAATAGGGGATCATGGGGCCCCTGTGTCCTTGCCCAAACTCAAAAAAGCCTATGAAAAAGGTACCAGGGACATCTCATGGGGCCCCCTACTGACCCCGGGCCCTCGGGCAGTGCCCGAGTTTCCAAATGGTCAGTCCGCCCCTGCTCGCCACCAACAAACATACACAAACAGAGACACCTGTACACACACACACAAACATGTACACACAGGCACGGAGACACATGTATACACACACAGGCACATACAGACATGCATACGCACAGATACATGTACATACACAGAAATACACATGCACAGACACATGTACATACATACACAGACACATGGACACACAGACACAAGCACGTATATACACACAAACACACATGTACATGCACACACACACAGACACCTGTACACGCACACAAACATGTAATACACACAGAAACATGTACACACACGCACAGAGACACATGTATACACACACAGGCACGTACAGACACGCATACACACAGATACATGTACATACACAGAAATACACATGCACAGACACATGTACATAAATACACAGACACATGTACACACAGACACATGCACGTACATACACACAAACACGCACATACATGTACATGCACACACACAGACACATACACACACACACATACATGTACATACACGCAGACAGATGTACGATTGTACATGCATACACGTACACACACACACATATACACACACACACAAACCACCCCCCATAAAAAGTTGCAGTACTTCGTTGTTCACTCACAGAGCCGGGTACTGCACTCTAGGGGAGTCAGAGAGAACAGCACACACTCCCTGCTTTGCTTTCACTGCGCTCAGCTATTGAGTAGTCTGTGCCAATGACAGATCTGGTCTGAGCTCCGAGCCTGCTCAGCTAAGACGGCCCTGGGGGACACACTCGCCCCCACCATAATTTCCACTCGCCATTGGCGAGCAGGCGAGTGGAAGGTCTTCATCTAAAGGGAAATCAAGCGTTTTGGGAAATAATTGCACGGTTCTCCATAAAAGGAGAATTTTACATCTTTATAATTGGGGGAATCGAAAACATTGTAGGATTATAACTTTTTTTTTTTTTTTTTTGCATGGTTGAACTGGATGGACTTTTGTCTTTTTTCAGACTATGTAACTTTGGGTGGAACTTACCCTTTATGTGAAAGATAAAAAACTGCTGTGTGGACTGCCAGCAAATCAAAACTAGCTATTTTCTATATGTGTTAATATCTAAAGTATAATGTATTTATAGAATCAAAATCAAAAAATGCTTTAAGCCCAAAATCCTAAAAACAAAAAATTAACAAAGCACAAAGTCTGCCATTGTCCGTATGAACCAACATTTGTATCTCTTTGTGTTATAAAACAGGTTGATAACAATGGACTGCTATCATTCAACGCTCTAATATCGATCTATACACCTCAACAACTCCCTGTAAATCAAAGTAATCCATTCCTCGCCGTTTTCTGGGCCGATGTATATAATGTGAATTCAGGGCACATTTATTACCTGCAGAGCACAGATCCAAGTCTTTTAACTTTGGCTACGTCAGATATCAGAAACTACACCATGGATTTCACCTTCACAGCCAACTGGGTGTTTGTGGCCACCTGGGATAGAGTTCCGTATTTTGGATCCTCATCAACCAAGGTATAGTGACTTAGGTTCATGATTTCTGTGTTCTGTTGTAAAGGTCAGAACCTACAGGTCCACTTAGGATTGATTCTCCTAAGAACATAAAATAGTAATCATTTAAAATTCTAATTCAGCAGGATTATAAACTCAGTATAGGGTGAAGGGTAGTAGGTCAACTGTGCATGAGAAAACTCTTTCTGCCACATTTCCCACAAATGTTTTTAGATCTCACATCACCATCGTTGTTCGCTAAGCAGAGTCAATGATTTCAAAATATTTGATCCACATGAGGTCTCATCTAAAGAGAATCAAGCGTTTTGGGAAATAATTGCATGGTTCTCCATAAAAGGAGAATTTTACATCTTTATAATTGGGGGAATCGAAAACATTGTGACAAATTGACTGACTTGGTTTGCTTGTGTTCTGGTTGAGATAGCTGCACAGGCACTGAAGCTTCTTATTAAAGCGTATGTCTGCTTCTAAGGTAGGGACACCTTGCAGGAACCTTATGCTTGGTGACCTCTACAAACACAGAAATTATACTTTTAATCCCAACTTCTGTATCATTTATAAAATAGGTTACAAAGTAGGGCTTCCAACACTGAACCTTGGGGGTACATCACTAATAACCTTGGACCATTCTGAGTATGGACCATTAATCACTATTCACTGAACATGAACCCCATAAAGAAGGTCCTCTTTCACAAGGACCTTTAGATCACTTCTCACCTAGACAAACACCACCATCTGTTCATTTTTATCCTGTCTCTTTAAAAGAAAAAATATAAAAGGAATATTATAAGGCCAGTCATGGGAAGAATGAAGCCAAGATCCTCCTATACCAAATGTGCTCTTCATGCACCAACGTTTCCGTATCTCTTATTTTGCTTGGCAGACGTCTGACATTGGTCAACAAACGCTTTAATCCATAGGAGCATTTGCATTTATTACAATATTTTTCGCTCCAGAAGATGTACCTGACCATAAGACACACCTAGGTTTTAGAGGAGGAAAACTAGGAAAAAAATATTCTGAACCAAGACTACAGACATAGTACAGGAGATGACCATAGACTGAGGACACAGTACAAGGGGATGACCAGAGACTTGCGGACACAGTACTGAGATGACCAGAGACTGCGGAGACAGTACAGGAGATGACCAGAGACTGCGGACATAGTACAGGAGATGACCAGAGACTGCGGACACAGTACAGGAGATGACCAGAAAATAGACTGCGGACATAGTACAGGAGATGACCAGAGACTGCGGACAAGAACAGTACAGGGAAATGCGATGACAAGTGAAGGAGATGGACCAGAGACTGCGGACATAGTACAGGAGATGACCAGAGACTGCGGACATAGTACAGGAGATGACCAGCCAAGACTGCGGACATAGTACAGGAGATGACCAGAGACTGCGGACACAGTACAGGAGATGACCAGAAGACTGCGGAATAGTACAGGAGATGACCAGAGACTGCGGAGATAGTACAGGAGATGACTGCAGATACATTACTAGAGATGACCAGAGACTGCAGAACATATTAAGAGGGGATGAACAGAGTTCTTTCAGCAATGTACAAATGTACAGTTTGTGAAAACAGCTCCGGGTTGGTATAACAGTCCACAGGCAGTCTACGGGGGGAAGGACATACCTGGCCAGCCATGCACCACAACATCCTTTCTGAGGTCCGGGGAGGGGTCCCACTCACATCATAACTTCTACTACAGCAACTCCCTCTCAAGCATACAGGCTGCATGGGGTGGGGTCAGTGGAGCTTCCAGACCTGGCCCCGCCCCCTCCTTGCTGGCTGGCCGGTATCCTAACACAGAGTCGGACGACAGGGGGAGGGGGGAGGCCTGGTCAATATTCACTCCATAAGACACACAGACACGGGAATCTCTTTATCAACTGCCATAGCTAGAGATGAGCGAAGTATTCAAAAATTCGATTCGGCTGATTCGGCGAATTTCAGGCAGAAGAAATTCGATTCAATGCGAATTTATTCAGAAGAGAAGGATGAGAAGAAGCGAGAAGGAGAAGGAGAGAAGATGGAAGAAGGAGAAGGATGAGAAGAAGGAGAGGAGAAGGATGAGAAGAAGGAGAAGGAGAAGGATGAGAAGAAGGAGAAGGATGAGAGAAGGAGAAGGAGAAGGATGAGAAGAAGGAGAAGGAAGAGAAGAAGGAGAGAAGAAGGAGAAGGATGAGAAGAAGAGAAGGAGAAGGATGAGAAGAAGGAGAAGGAGAAGGATGAGAAGAAGGAGAAGGAGAAGGATGAAGAAGAAAGGAGAAGGATGAGAAGAAGAGAAGGATGAGAAGAAGGAGAAGGATGAGAAGAAGATGAGAAGAAGGATGAAGAAGGAAGGAGAAGAAGGAGAAGGATGAGAAGAAGAAGATGAGAAGAAGGATGAGGAAAGAAGGAGAAGGATGAGAAGAAGGAGAAGGATGAGAAGAAGGATGAAGAAGAAGGAGAAGGATGAAAGAAGGATGAGAAGAAGGAGAAGGATGAGAAGAAGGAGAAGGATGAGAAGAAGGAGAGAAGAGAAGGAAGGATGAGAAGAAGGAGAAGGATGAGAAGAAGGATGAAGGAGAAGGATGAGAAGAAGGAGAAGGATGAGAAGAAGGAGAAGGATGAGAAGAAGGATGAGAAGAGAAGGAAGGAGAAGAAAGGAGAGAAGAAGGAGAAGGATGAGAAGAAGAGAAGGATGATGGAAAGAGAAGAAGGAGAAGGATGAGAAGAAGGAAGATGAGAAGAGGAGAAGGAGAAGGAGAGAAGAGAGGAGAAGGATGAGAAGAAGAGAAGGATGAGAAGAAGGAGAAGGAAGAGGAGAAGGATGAGAAGAAGGAGAAGGAGAAGGATGAGAAGAAAGAAGGAAGAAGATGAGGAAGGAAGGAGAAGGAGAAGGATGAAGAAGGAGAAGGAGAAGGATGAGAAGAAGGAGAAGGATGAGAAGAAGGAGAAGGATGAGAAGAAGGAGAAGGATGAGAAGAAGGAGAAGGATGAGAAGAAGGAGAAGATGAAGAAGGAGAAGGAGAAGAAGGAGAAGGATGAGAAGAAGGATGATGAGAAGGAGAATGGAGAAAGGATGAGAATGAAGGAGAAGGATGAGAAGAAGGAGAAGGATGAAGAAGAAGGAGAAGGATGAGAAGAAGGAGAAGGATGAGAAGAAGGAGAAGGATGAGAAGAAGGAGAAGGATGAGAAGAAGGATGAGAAGAAGGATGAGAAGAGGAAGAAGGAGAAGAAAGAAGTGATGAAGGGAAGACAGTTCTGTGACAGTTTCTGTCTATTTCTGACAGTTCTGTGACATTCACTCCATACAGGGTTTCAACCGCTGTATGGAGTGAATGTCCCAGAACTGACAGAAATAGGAGGAATTCTGACAGTTCTGGGACATTCACTCCATACATGCGGTTGAAACATTGTATCTATTTGTTTCCATAAATGGATCCATTTATGGAAACAAATAGATACAATGTTTCAACCGCTGTATGGAGTGAATGTCCCAGAAGTTTTCTGTCAGAAATAGACTATTTCTGACAGTTCTGGGACATTCCCAGAGGCATACAGGGGTTGGTTTCAAAAGAACTGTATGGAGGGAATGTCACCAGAAAGGAAATAGACTATTTCTGACAGTTCTGGAAGACTTCACACCATACAGCGGTTGAAAATTGTATCTATTTGTTTCCATAAATGGATCCATGAAATGAGATGAAGAAGAAGGGATGAGAAGAAGTGAGAAGAAGGAGAAATGAGAAGAAGGAAAAGGAAGGAGAAGGATAGAGAAAAGGATGATAAGAAGATGAGAAGGTAGAATTTATGAAGAATGGAGAAGGAATGAGAAGAAGGAATGGAGAAAGAAGGAGAAGGATGAAAGGAGAAGGATGAGAAGAAGATGAGAAGATGGAGAGAAGAAGGAGAAGGATGAGAAAAGGAGAAGGATGAGAAGAAGGATGAGAAAGAAAGGATGAGAAGAAGGAGAAGAAGGAGAAGTGGAAGAATAAGGAGAAGGATGAGAAGGAAGGAGAAGGATGAGAAAAGGAGAAGGAATGAGAAAGAGGAAGGAAAATAGAAGGGAAGGATGAGAAGAAGGAGAAGGAGAAGGATGAGAAGGTGGGTGATTGGAGAAGGATGAGAAGGAAGGAGAAATGAGACATGAGAAAGAAGGAGAAGGAGAAGGATGAGAGAAGGAGAAGGATGTGAAAAAGGGAAGGATGAGAAGAAATGAGAAGGATGAGAAGAAGTAGAGAGGATGACAAGAAGGAAGGATGAAGAAGGAAGAGCCAGATTTTGAAAGGGATAGATGAGAAGAAGGATGTGGTGCCCGAAGGAGATGGAATCCTCAGAAGGATGAGAAGAAGGAGAGGAGGGAGGAGAATGAGAGAAGGAGAAGGATGAAAAGAAGGATGAGCAAAAGATTGTAGAGAAGGAGAAATGAGAAGAAGAAAGGATGAGAAGAAAAGGAGATAGGATTAGAAGAAGGATGAGAAGAAGGATGAAAGAAGAGAAGGATGAGAAAAGAAGGACCCAGTTCTGTGACAGTTTCTGACTATTTCTGACAGTTCTGTGACATTCACTCCATACAGCGGTTTCAACCGCTGTATGGAGTGAAATGTCCCAGAAATAACTGTCAGAAATAGATTTTTCTGACAGTTCTGGGACATTCCACTCCATACAGCGGTTGAAACATTGTATCTATTTGTTTCCATAAATGGATCCATTTATGGAAACAAATAGATACAATGTTTCAACCGCTGTATGGAGTGAATGTCCCAGAACTGTCAGAAATAGTCTATTTCTGACAGTTCTGATGACATTCACTCCTCTACAGCGGTTTCAACCGCTGTATTGGAGGGAATGTACACAGAACTGTCAGAAATAGTCTATTTTCTTCTTCTGACAGAGCATTCTGAGGACATTCACTCCATAAGAGCAGATACACTTAGAGTGTAGCTCTGCAGATACACTTTTTGCGCCGGCTTGGAATTATTCTTATTTTACACTTAAGGACTTAGAGGAGCTCTGCAGATACACTTTTTGCCGGCTTGGAATTATTCTTATTTTCATCCACTTCTTCTTCTTCTTCCTGAAATTCGTATCAAATTCCGGTTCGCCTGGTTCGATTCGCTCATCTCTAGCCATAGCCTCCCCCCATCTTCTCCAATTCCACCCTCCATTAGTGTCCTGACTCATTTGATTCTGCCCAATTATATTCTAACTCTTTACTCCTTCCTCCCTTCCTCAAATTCCCAACTTCTGTATCATTTATAAACACATTAACAAGTATGGGTTCCAACACTGAACCTTGGGGTTACACCGAATATTATCTTTGACCATTCTGTGTATGGACCATTAATCACTACTCTCTGAACATGGACTTCATAAACAAGGTCCTCTTTTACACTGAATTTTGGGTCACGTCTCACATAGACAAACACCACCACCTATTTGTTTTCTCCTGTATCTCTGAAAGGAATATTGAAGGAAAGAATATTATGAGGCCAGTCTTCGTGTGAAGAATGAAAGCCAAGATTGTGCAATACAAAATTCAAGTTTCTAACTTTCATACTTTGCTTGGCAGACTTCTGGCATTGGTGAATGAACACTTGAATCCATAGTTGCAGTTATTTTACTATATCTGTTTTATAGTACAAAATAGTATTTGCCATTGCCAATGGCAATCTTTTTTTCAACTGCATAGCCCTCCACCATCTTCTCCAATTCCACCCTCCATTAATGTCTGACTTTATCTGCCCAATTATATTTCTACTCTTTCTCTCCTTCAACTCTAACTCAAATACTTCTCTGACCTTCCCATGAACCTCTCCTCTAGCACAGCAGTAACCTCCTTCCATTTAGGTGCAAACCATCGCATGAGCATAATATGTTGCACCCCAATAAAAAAAGCCAGCTTAAAACTCTAGAAACCCAACTCCTTCCCTCTAACACTGGCTACTTTTCCTTGGTTTTGGCTCTGTAATCTGAGCTATGCGTAATGAGCACTAATATGTATGATAATTTCATTCCAACACTTGTGCCTTATGAGTTGACACTTCATTGCATTAATACATATACAAAAACCAAGGAAAGTAGAAACTGTAGGAAAAACACGAGAAATGACTAATTAAGCTTCTGATAAATGTAAGCTTCTAACTTGCATTGTTTTTTTTATTATTCCACCTACAGGTCAACACATTCCAGATTGTATTGATCACCGATGAGACGTCCACAGTATGTTTTATATAACTATGCCGATATCCAGTGGACAACCGGAACAGCCAGTGGTGGTAATGCCACTACGGGACTTTGGAGGGACTCCGGCTCTGGTAAGTTAAACCTAAAAACGCTGAGCATTGGATCCAACTATTTAAAAAGGATAAGTTCACCAAAGAAAAAGTTGGTGTTCATTTATCTAGAGGAACTTATTATTATT